TGTGTGTGTGTGTGTCTGTCTGTGCGCGTGTGTGTGTGTGTGTGTGTGTGTGTGTGTCTGTCTGTGCGTATGTGTGTGTGTTGTAGGTGGTGAAGCTGCTGAACACCAAGCGTTCTCAGGCCGTGGGGATCCTGATGTCCAGTTTACATCTCGACATGAAGGACATTCAGCACGGTCAGAACCGTCTGTCTTTTTCTCCTCTAATGCACAGCTTTCTGTTATTCTGCCTCTTCATATTGTTGTAAGATTGAACATGAAGCCCTTCTGCACTGACTCTGATCCAGATGTGTGCTTGTAAATCTGATTCACTGCATTCTTACCATGTATTTACTCTGTAGTCAGAGTTAAATGTTTGTTGGTGTTTGACGGTGGTTTGCGGCTCTGGTGGACCCTGAACGTGAACCTCCTCTGAACAAACTCAGGCATTCAGATCACTGCTGCACTTGTTTTTATAAATATCTTCCTTCAAAGATGATTTGAGGAATCAATCGTGCTGCAGGGCACCCACTTAAAATAAACTATTTTTAATGACGTGAGGCCAGATTTACAGGTTGTTTTAGATATTTTAAGATTTTAGAACATTTATAAAACTTTATTATAAAGCGGGTAGTTCCGGTGCTTGATTCTGATTGGCTGAGCCGCGTTTGAAGCTGGCTGTTGTAAATTACTCTACAAACATACACCTTTGTTTACGTTTGTCTGTTGCTCGGCAACCACTTTGTTGCATCCACAACTGTTTCTGAGGAGCTACATTGTTTGGTGGAAGAATACTGTTTTTATTAATATCATTACACTTTATTTGCTCTGTTTTATTTTGTGAAACCTTACTACGTATATGGAATAACCGTTTTATAAAAGCAGTAAGCCCCGTGAAGTTCGCGTCGTACCTAACAACGCCCCTTAGCTGTTATAAATTGACTGTAAACCACGGCTTCTTGGGGCTTATTGCTTTATTCTGTATCATTATAGCGTTCAAACACTAGGTCATGGGTTCGATTTCCCAGATCAAATGTTTGCCTTCAATGCAAGTTGCATTGCTTAGAAACATCTGCCAAATGCACACAGCCATGACTAAAACGCCTAAAATGTCCAGGTTTTGGCTTTGTTTTCCTGATGTAATGACTAAAAATAGTTTGACCAATAGCGTGCAGGCATCGCACACAATCAACCAATCGCGGCGTATAAGGCGGCATCAGTGCAACGCAAATATGCACGAATGTAATGCACGAGGACAGTAGAGAGAAACGAGGTCATAGGTCAGCCTGGTCTTGTAGAGGTCAGAGGTCGTTGCTGTAGTGACCGTGATGTTTTGGTTGTAGTTCAGCAGCGCTTTGCTGTGTTTGAAGGCTTTCTTTCAGGCAGCAGATGTTTCTTTGGTCGAGCAGTCTATATTTGGGTTTGGTGTAATACACAAACTCCTGCTGTTCCACCCAGTTCCAGAGCAATTACCGCCGTTATATAACGGCAGCGAACCACAGCGTCTCACACCAGCCTGACCTGCTGACCGCAGCTATGAGAGCAGACAGACCTCCACATGTGCTCAGCGTCTGTGGGCTTGTTTTTCTCCTTCAGGCCCAAACAGCTAAATCCAGACGCCCGGAAACTAGGCCCGTCTGTCTGTGTCTGTGCATTAACACACGCCTGCGCTTAACAAAACACAGTTATACCGCGGTACCTGCCACATGACACACAGGGTCAATCCCATGATGCTCTGCTGCCCCCTAGAGGTCAGAGCTCAAACTGAAGCATTGCAGGCCTGTGAATGATTACATTTTTCTTGTACAAAATAATAAAATACTTGCTATATTTTTCATGACTGTAAAGTTTTGGATTAATGCATTATGTACTCTGCCTTTATTATTTTTGTATGATGTTGTATTTTTTGTCCTAATATAAAAAAGCACTCAAAATAAATCTCATTAATAAATATTATGATGCTGATTAAGTTCATAAGCTTTCAATATTAATGTTTTATCACTAACAGTTTACAATAAGGAGGACTCATTAACATGAACGAACAATAAGCAATGCATTATTTACAGTATTTATTCATCTTTGTTAATGTTAGCTAATAAAATGCATTTGTTGAGGTTAATGTTAGTTCAGAGTGCATTAACTACAGTTAATAAATGAAGAGTTCATTTGCAAAAACAGATAACTCCGTTTTTAACAATTTTAAAAATCATGTTTTTTCATTGTGCATTTTAATTAATCTCAATCAAACTGCAGTTGGGTTATTTTGATTAGGTAATTAACTAAAAAATACTAGCTAACAAACACAATAAAAACATGATAACATAATAAAAAATGATTTTTGAAAATAAAAAGTGTTTAAAAAAATAATTTAAAAAAGTTATGTTTTTGCAAATAAAGTCTTCAAATATAACTTAATTTTAATGGTATGTTGAAACTAACATTCACTAAAGATTAATAAATGCTGATGGAGTATTGTTTAATGCAAATTAATATGAACTAATATTAACAAATGAATATTTACTGTAAAGTGTTACTGTTTTATCACATTTGTTTATATTAAAAGAGCTAAATATAAAGTAATATACACAAAAATGTAATAAAGTTTAGTGGAAGTCATTAAGAGTTTTAGCGGATTTTCTTTCACATGTAGAGAATATGAGGACACAAACACCTTCATTAGAGTTTTATGAATTTATTATTATTATTATTATTATTATTATTAATCTGGACAGAAATGCATGTGATGATGATGAAGAGTCATCAGAGCTTTGAGAGTCAAACATGAGAAACACACATCTTTATCAGGTTTAATCCTGAAATCAGCAGAGTCTCTGAGTGTTTCACAGACGTCAGGGGCGGAGCAGTGTCTCTGAGGGGCGGAGTCTTGGGACAGTGGGCGGGGCCATGTGTCAGAGATGGAGTATTTGGGCAGTGGGCGGAGCCATGTATATGAGGGGGTGGAGTCTCGGGCAGTGGGCGGAGCTGTGTCTATGAGGGGGTGGAGTCTCGGGCAGTGGGCGGGGCTGTGTCTATGAGGGGGTGGAGTCTCAAGGCAGTGGCGTCTGAGCGCGCTCAGTGCGGCTCGGCGTCGCTGCGTTTGGCGGGTTTGGCGATGAGACGTCTCTCTCGCACATTTCTACAAACCTGATGAAGAAACAAACTCATCCTGATCTGGGATAAACTGAGGGTGAGCACATTTTAATTTTCAAGTGTAAATTTCTAAAAGTTCGAGTATGTTTTGAGCTTGTTTTCAGTGTGACACGTCAGTCCTCACTATCTCAGGACAATATATGAACAGCGTGGATCTGGTGTGAAGCTCAAACCTTCAGTCTGGTGGTCTTGTCGTGCAGAACGATCATTTCTCTGCGGATGTTCACCAGTTTGCTGTGATAAACTTTGGCCTCTGTGAACTGAAACACATGGCTGTGAGTCTGACGAGGCTTTAATGATGAAACACACGACTGACACTCACCAGCGCGTTCAGATCAATCGTGGCGTTGCACTCGCGGACCTTCGCCACTTCCTGATCCAGCGTCTCCAGCAGAATCACCTGGTTTTGTCTGGAAGAGAAAATAAGAGATCATTACAGTATTCTGAACCCCAGTTTCTATTGTGAAACTCTATTTTCCAGTCTGATCAGATAATAAGGCTCATCTACTGAATACAGAACTTCTCTCTGCTCGTGTTTCATGAACCAAACCCAATGTGACCCAAAACATTAGTGTCAAAAATCACAGACTTCCTGTCACACAGGAAATGGAAGGTGGAGTCGAGCACATTGCATTATGGGATGCAGTGTGATGTGCGAGACATACTTCAGCTCCTGCAGCGCTCGTTTGGAGGAGCACAGCTCCGGGAGATAATGAGAGAGAAACCCGTCTGTTAGACGCTCGACCGTCTGTTCATCCACACACACCATGTCCTCCAACACACGGCACACTGCAAACACACACACAAACACACAAACACGCACACACAAACACGCACACACAAGCACACACACAAACACGCACACACAAACACACACGCACAAACAAACACACACACACACAAACACGCACACACAAACACGCACACACAAGCACACACACAAACACGCACACACAAACACACACGCACAAACAAACACACACACACACAAACACGCACACACAAACACGCACACACAAGCACACACACAAACACGCACACACAAACACACACGCACAAACAAACACACACTCAGAAACTATTCGTCTTGTAATTACAGGCCTGCTTCAGTCAACAAAACCATAAAGGCGTGTTTTTATTAGTAAACTGGCATTCATCGATGTGATATTGGGTCAAATAATATCATAAAGAGCCAGAAGTGCCGCTCCTGTGATCATGTCGTGTTTCTGATCACCTGTCTCCTCCTCATCTTCCTCCTCCTGCCTGTCCATCATCATCCTCCTCCTCCTCTTCCTCCTGACACACACACGCTTTCAGGTTCTGTAGTGTTCTGTGCACACGAGCCTCGCTTTACTAGCGTCTGATGATCCTGATCCTGATCCTGATCGATGTGAAACTGTTTCCAGCAGCAGCGGCTCACAAACATCACGTGACCAGCGCTCATGTGACCCCGCATACTGCACGAGCGCGACGCACTGCCACTCTGAGAGCGCTTCCGCCGCAGGTCACGTGACGCCGAGCGAGGCCTCCGATTGGACAAACGACTGTACATACAGCACACGTAATATAATATAATATAATACAATAAACATAATATAATGTAATATAATACAATATAATATAAAACTTTACTGTTACGTTTTCTTGCACACACAACGATTTTTTTCTTGTTAAACGAAGCTTCCAGCAGTGTTATTTTAGTATCATTGAGATACTATTAAAGTTTTTGTTAATATTTTAAATTAGATTTTATTTTTATATTTTCTGCTTTCAGGTTAATTTTAGTGATAGCAATTTTGTTGTGCGTTTTTGACATTAATATGTCTATATATGTATGTATGTATATATGTATATATATATAGCGAGAGAGACATTTTTATTTCAGTTTTAGTTTTAATTATTTTAATACAGCTAGTTAAACTAAATTAGAATGCGTAATTTTGCCTTGAAAACTAGCTGAAACAAAATAAGTTTCAGTTTTTTTATATTTTACGTTTTCAGTTAACATTTATACCATTTCAATTAATAAAACGTATTTTTAGAATTTTACTTTGAATGCACTATAAAAACCTTGCTTTCCAGCACACATAAATACAAACACAAACACAACTGCAAGATCCATAATAAAAAAATGAAGAATAAAACATAAAAAGGTACATAAATATATTCGTAACTATAATATAATATCATAGTTATTATCATTTTTATTATTATTAATTTTTATATTTATAAACTATAGTTATATGTTAATTTTGTACATGACCGTGACGTTCTGACGTGCGTCAGGCGGAAGTGCAGCAGATTTGGGACGAGCGCAGAGTGGACACGTTAACGTTAAACACTCTCTCCCTCACACACACATACTCCGAGATCCGCCTGAACACACACCGCGATGGACGGAACCAGCGAACGGCAGAGTCTCGGAAGGTTGGTGCTCGTTTATTCATAAACCGGAGTGCGTGTTTTCGTTGAGTTTTCAGTGTGAACGGAACGGACTGAGCGCTAGCCGCTAGCGCGACTGACAGAGCGTCCAGATCCGCATCAGCGCGACTAGCGATCATCAGTCGCGTGCAGCTGTGTCACGTGACCTAGCCAGGTGTGTGCGCTGTGTTTCAGGTAACCTGGAGTGTTGATGCTGTAGGGTCACTAGAGCTCCTCGCAGATGTCTGGCTCGGGGCTGATGGGTCGCGTGAGGTCGGCGTTCCGCAGGCAGCCGGACAGCTGGCACCTGAGCGACGCGGCGGCCTTCGACTTCTCCGACGATCTGGAGGACGACGAGACGCCCAGGTTCAGCCAGCTGAAGGTGGTGGTGTCTGGAGAAGCGGACGAGATTCCTGTGGCTTCACGCAATGGCGCAGTGGTCAGCACACTGCTGGTGGACGACGACGACTCTCTGCTGGGCTCCTCGTCCAGTCTGGGGAGCCCCGGGGCCACACCGGACCCCTGCGACGGATGCCGCAGGAACAGAGAGCGCGACAAGCGCAGGAGGGTGATGAGGAAGCTGGGCGTCGCTGCGATGCTCTACTTCCTGTTCATGGTGGGCGAGCTGATCGGTGAGCGCCGGCGCATCAGTCGGTCGGTTGTCACTAGTTTCCATAACCCTGCAAATTGCGTAAATTGAAAATACAACTAATGGAAACGCGTCAATTTCGCAAAAACACCCATATATCGCAAAAAAAGTTTTTACGCTCACATGAAGTGGTTTTGCAGCGGCACTAGCCAAAGTCTGTCAAAATCCCACAGAAATCCGTCGCCGTGACTTATCGCGAGAGGAAAAAGTACTTTTAAAGCCCCAAGTATACTTTGTTTTTGTACGCGTACGCTAGAATTGAAAATACGCCTAAACGCGTCAGTTTCGCAAAAACACCCATATATCGCAAAAAAGTTTTCCGCAGGCAGCCGGACAGCTGGCACCTGAGCGACGCGGCGGCCTTCGACTTCTCCGACGATCTGGAGGACGACGAGACGCCCAGGTTCAGCCAGCTGAAGGTGGTGGTGTCTGGAGAAGCGGACGAGATTCCTGTGGCTTCACGCAATGGCGCAGTGGTCAGCACACTGCTGGTGGACGACGACGACTCTCTGCTGGGCTCCTCGTCCAGTCTGGGGAGCCCCGGGGCCACACCGGACCCCTGCGACGGATGCCGCAGGAACAGAGAGCGCGACAAGCGCAGGAGGGTGATGAGGAAGCTGGGCGTCGCTGCGATGCTCTACTTCCTGTTCATGGTGGGCGAGCTGATCGGTGAGCGCCGGCGCATCAGTCGGTCGGTTGTCACTAGTTTCCATAACCCTGCAAATTGCGTAAATTGAAAATACAACTAATGGAAACGCGTCAATTTCGCAAAAACACCCATATATCGCAAAAAAAGTTTTTACGCTCACATGAAGTGGTTTTGCAGCGGCACTAGCCAAAGTCTGTCAAAATCCCACAGAAATTCGAAAATACGCCTAAATGCGTCAGTTTCGCAAAAACACCCATATATCGCAAAAAAGTTTTTACGCTCGCATGAGGTGGTTTTTCAGGCAATTCGAAAAAGGAATATTTCGCAAAACCGCAATGGAAACGGTTTTTCGCATTTACAGGTCACATGGTGTACGTAAAAAGTCATGTGATCATTCTTCAACGTGCTATATAACCTCCAAGAAACACTTCATAAGTTGGCCATGCAGTGGCGCTAGCCAAAATCCCACAGAAGATTACATTTTAGTCACATAACATCGGTTAATGGAAATACCGTCATTTCGCAATACTTTTTTATTGACGGTTATAAAATATCGCTAAAGTTTTGCACAAATCTGTTATGGAAGCGTAGCTAGAGCTATGTTTCCATCCACCTATTTTTATGCGCATTTTGGGATATCGCATAAAAATTGCTGGATGGAATCTGCAGCAAATAAAATTTTTCTTAGCGCAAGTTAATCAGGAAGCGACAATTTTGTTATCTTCAACTCACTGGATGGAAGCGGTGCTTTATTCGCAATTTATTCCAATTTTGCGCATAAATGTAATTGATAAATTTGGATGGAAACATAGCTAGTGCTCTCCAGTGTTGGGCTCGTTACTCAAAAAATAGAATTTATTACTCTTTACTACTTACTCCTTTCAAAAGTAATATTATTACTTATTACTTTCTGGCAAAAGTAATTAGTTACACTACTAGTTACATTACTTTTCCTTCACGCCCCACAGAAGTTGCGTATCTTACCCAAAAAAATCTTCTGGAATGTTACTTACAACATATTTCTGCCTCATCGCAGTCAGAAGTGATTACAAACACTCAGTGGTGACTTTTAAGTGTTGTATTAACCTCATTAATTGTCATGTGTAGCTTGAAGCTAATTGTAGCTATAATTTCTCTGTTACCCATATACGATTATATTTCAAGATTTATTTTATCAAAAGAAATAGCATACATTTGTAAGAAATTGTTTCGTTTTCTAAAAAGATTTTTAAATATAGTGATACAATTTGTATCAGGATCAAAGGGATGAGGGTAAGCCATGTAACGCCACAACTTACACAGCAGTGTTCAGATCATCTTTTCTTCTTACAAAATCAACGTAACGGAAATATTTCCATCCGCTGAATGTAAGCTTTTCCAAGCTTTCCTGCTGCTCTGGTGACTTCATGTGTTCATGAGTCGTAAAAATTATGAAAATAAATCTAGGAATTAATTATATTGTTGGACTTGAAGTCAGTAGGCATTAAGGCATCAAAAGTAACTTAAGTAACAAGCTGTTTTATGGATGTAACTGTAATATTATTACTGAAATCTTAATAGTAATTAGTTACACTACTAGTTACTGCACAAAGGAATATTATTGCTGTAACTAGTTACAGCTGAAAGCTCTCTGTCTTTCAGGTGGATACGTGGCCAACAGTCTGGCCATCATGACGGATGCGCTGCACATGCTGACGGACCTCATCGGGATCGTGGTGTCGCTGCTGGCGCTCTGGCTCTCGGCCAAACCTCCCTCCTACAGATTCACCTTCGGCCTCC